CGAATAAACTTTTTCGCAAAAGCTAAAGTTTTTGAGATAGACATAAAAAACTAAAAAATCACCCTTGGTGGGTTATTTTTAACCCCCTTGGGGCACGTCTTAGAGTTGACCAATCGTCTCCAAATTTTGTACAATTTATTTTTTCATGTATTCGAATAATTCTAGGGGGTGGCACTTTGTAGTTTTTAAATTTTATAAATAAGGGACACCCTAATGATCAGGAGCAACAGAATTATTTTTTATATGGGGAGGCAAAAAACTTAATGATGGAAGTCAGTTTCCTTGGTTTTTACATAGCTAAAAAAGCGGGTAAAGCTATTTTTTTGGTGATTTTTAGTGATCACAAAAAAATCCAGTAGTTTATAAACTTTACCCTTGATAATATATATTATTTTTTATTAAATTATTAATTATATATACATATATTTTTCTTTTGTATGCCCATTAAGGGCCATAGTGGCCTCCCCTAAAGGATGAGATTTCTGAACCATTGATACTCAGGAACGGGTGGTTAGTCCGTCGCCGGAGAGAGGGATGGCAACTCTAATTACCGAACTGATCTCTCGCTCGGAAAATGAAGCCGCCCGTGACCGAGTTTCGAACTCGAGACAGTTTACATAAGCACTGCCGTGTCCATTATATTATATTATAAATACTTATAATTATTGATCTTATACTAAAATAGAATTTACAAGATTAATTATAATTTTTTTTTTTATTACAATAAAAAAAAGTAACTATTTTATTAATAACTTTGGAAATAATCAAGTACGATTTATGGAACATTCAAAATAAAATTTTTAAAAAGAATGAATTTGTCTAAATTATATATTATAGTATATAAATGAAGAACTGAGAAAAAACAAATTTTATCTTTGGCAAAACCTTGATTGCAATTTTACTTAGGTCAATAAAATTTTCTTGGCCACAATTGATAATATAATAACAATATCATAATACACAAAATACTATGGAATAATTACAAAATTTGAAGTTGATAATAAATGTTTTTCTTTTATCAAATTATTAAAGAAAATTTTAAAACTGTATCCAGATTTCTAACAATAATATTTTATTTCAGCCATAATTTTTTTTTCAAATTTAATGGAGAAAGAAAACGAATTGATAGATTTTCTTTCCTGTATGTTGACTGAGAGGAAAATGTCTCTCCTGTCAATGGTTCCGACGCCTCTGTATAAAATCTCACAATCTGAACAGAAATGTATTCATTGTTAAATGTTTCAGTTTCCATATATGTATAAGTTTAATTTAAATATATTTATTAATTTAATTATACTTATGTAATTTAACTGTATGTAGATTTATAATTGTAGATTAACGTTAAGCTAATTTCGAATAGCTACTCAACATTGTAAATCGTTCAGATGTCTAAACATGAAAACTTCGCTTTCATAACAAAGAATTATAAGTGTAATATATTAAACGGAGCTCCTAAGGGAAAAGAAATCAACCGAGACATCAACAAGCAAATTAACAAAGAGTCTGAAAGAGTGTTGTAGTAATAAAGAGCTTTTTGATATCAATGAACTCCGTCCTTGTGTTAAACATTCCCTCTTTTGTTGTATTTCAGATAACTTTAAAAACACTTTCCGTGTAAAAATTACTACTTGACATATTTTTATTCAGAATTTTCACTCGAGAATTACTAGAAGTTTTTAGACGCTGGTTTTCTTGCCCTTCTTATTTTATTAACTTAATTTTTCTTTCTTAATCAACCGTTAAAAAAAACCTTTGTTTCATTACCGAGAAAGTTTTTTATTTTTATACTTTTAAAAATATTACTGTAATGGACTTTTAACGGAAAATTAATTTATGTCTAACAAACAATATGTTTCGATAAAGTTTTCAATAATTAATGGTATCTTTAACTGCTGGACATACATTTTTAATACAATAATTAATTAAATAATAATGTAATGTAATGTTAAGGCAAGGGCGTAGAATAAAAATTGTATTATACGTCATCCTTATTATCGTTATACCTATACATTTAATAAGTAAGCTTAGCTCAACGTCAAAAATAGCTTAGGTGGATTAGATATCGGAATTTTATTTCATGTATCTTTAGTTCACTAACCCAATGAATTTTTCATTCATCAATTATTAACGTAAAAATAAAAACAAAAATACTTTAAATACTATATTGGATTTTTACTTTTTATTTTTTGTCGATACTATATTTTTCCTTTTTTATGGCAATAAAAGTTTTATGTATGATATTTAATACTAATAAGATATAATGATAGTTTCAATTTAAGAAAAAAACAAACGTATAAATAGATTTTTAAAAAAAAATCTGTTTACTTTTAGA